ATGCAGGATGTAAGAATTGGAAAATTACTTGCTGAGAACATGTATGTTGATGTGCTTGATTGAACCAGTACACAGTGTATTTTGGATGGAAAATTTATTGGTGGGTTGTGATGGTGTATAGTGAATTAAGGTAGAAAATAAAAACTAAAAAAAAAAAAATGTATGGCCTGGAACTGTATCATGGAAGATCTTCAAAGGCACCCAGGAAGAATGAGTTCCCCCTTCCCTGGGATACCATACATCCTCTGACAGTACCGAACTTTAAAGAGAGAAAAGAAAAAAAATGTGAGTTATACACAGAAAGGAAAAATGTCAGAACATCACACAGGGAAGACCCTGAAGTGATTATTTCAAAAGCTAGTAGCCGAGGATCTCCATAGACAGTCTGCAACAACGGGAAAGGCAGATGACAAACACTGGTAAGAATGCGGAAATTGTGAGATTCTCATAGATTTCTGCACGGAACGTAAAACTGTACAGTTGCTTTGGCAAATGCCTTGGCAGTTCCTTAAATGTTAACCCTGAGAAAGTATATGACCTAGCAATGCTACATCTAGGTATTTATGCAAGAAAAATGAAATATTCCCAAACAAAAATTGGCACACCAATGTTCATAGTACTATTCACAACAACCGAGATGTCGAAACAACCCAAAAATCTACTAACATATAAATGATAGACAAAAACGTGCTATACCCACACAATGCAATGTTATGCAGCCATAAAAAGTAATGCTACAACATGGATATACCTTGACAAAATGATGCTAAGTCAAAAAAGCCAGAAACAAAAAAAAAGGGCACGTATGCACGATTCTTTGCACATGAAATGTTCAGAACAATCAAACTTAACAGAAACAGAAAGCATTAGTACTTGCAGGCAGTGGGGAAGGCAGGAATTGGAGTGACTGCAAAGTGTTGGGGATTTCTGTTTGCATAATAAAGGTGTTCATAAATGCTGACAGTGAAGATGGTCCACTCTCCAGGTAAACATACTTTAAAAATAATAAATTGTGGGTCCAGCAGTTAGCGTAATGGCTATGTCACTGGACTCCCACGTAGTTGACCACGGTTCGAGTCCCAGACCCGGTGTCTAAAATTCATGCCGGACGCGTGTGCGTGCGTGCCCAAGATCCTGAGAGGAGAATGGAGGAGAAGGGACTGCGGTGTGGCCATCCCCCCCCCGGGGGGGGGTGATTTCTCGCTTTCTGTCTCTCTGTCTCTGTCTCTCTGTCTCGCGAGCACACGCACCCTATAGCAAAAAACTTCTCCAAATAAAAAGAAAAAGAAAAAAATAATAAATTGTGAGGGGGCCAGCAGGTGGCATAGAGATTAAGGCAAATGGATCCCACATGACTGACTCTTCGGTTTGAGTACTGGACAGGGTGGTTTGAAAATCAAGCCAGGTGCAGGTACAAGCATGTCCAAAAATCCAGAGAGGAAAATGGAGGAAGAGGGACTTAGCATGCTGGGGCCAGCAGGTAGCAAGGAGGTTAAGGTAATGAATTCCACGTGGCCAGCTGCACAGTGTGAGTCCCAGACCTGGCAGCTTGGAAATCACACCAGGTGAATGCGCATGTGTGCCTGAAATCCCAGAGGAGAATGGAGGAGGAAGGACTACATTGTGGCTATCCCCCCGAAGGGGGCCATACCCTCTGGGGGATGACTTCTCACTTTTCTTGTCTCTGGCAGTGAACAAACCCTATGGCAAAAAAAACCCTAAAAAGTATTTGAAAAGGTTGAATTTTATGATATATGCAAAACATCTCAAAAGGAGAGACAACCAGTGACACAGAGCACAGGTTATGACCTGGATGACACATGACTGTTCCGCTGCACACAAGGGCCCCAGAAGAGGCTGCCTGCCTACCTTATGGGTTAATGCCAATGCTCATCCTCGGTAGCTGAGGGAGGTCAGAAGGAACACAGTCCCTCAGCCTGGTGGACAACCCAGCTACTGATTGAAGGACAGTCAATAGCTCATGGCATCACAAACTATAAATCAACCTGAACAACTATGGATAAACATCTATTCCACATGGCCAAGTGTGTGGTTTGAGTTCCACACCCGGTAGCATGAAAATCACACCAGATGCATGTGCAAGTGTGCCCAAAATCCCGAGAAGAGAATGGAGGAAGGACTGCTGCGTGGCCATCCCCCAGGAGGGCGATTTCTCACTTTAGCTCTCTCTGCTTCTGTCCTGTGAGCACATGCACCCTGAGGCAAAACAGGAAGTGCTGCTCATTTCTATTTAAGTTAATGTGGACAGACAATGTGCCATCTGATGTTAAAAATAAACGATCTGCGCCTTTTGCTTTGTTGTCCCACTGAAAGCAGGATGGGTCATCAGCAGCTCTACTGGAACCACCCAAGAAAATTTGGCCAGGGCTCTTGCTCTTGCCGCATGTGCTCCAACAGGCATGGTCTGATCGGGAAATGCAGCCTCGACATGTGCCGTCAGTGCTTCCATCAGTATGCGAAGGACATAGGCTTCAACAAGTTGAACTAAATGATCTTCCTTGAATGGACTGTCCAAGATATCCACCCAGTGAAAGAAATCATGCTGGCTATTTGTATATAAAATTAAAAAAAAAAAATTCGCTACTTAGACATGCCCAATTAGCCATTAGCCATAACCTACTGTCACCACAAAGATGACACTGTTAAAAAAAAAAGTACAAGGACTAGCAGTTGACGTAATGGGTGTGTCACTGGACTCCCACATAGTCAACCGCGGTTTGAGTCCCAGACCTGGTGGCTTAAACTCCCACCAGGCGCGTGTGCGTGCATGCCCAAGATCCTGAGAAGAAGATAGAGAAGGGATTGCAGCATGGCCATCTCCCCTGGGGGGTGATTTCTCACTTTCTCTCTCTCTGGTGAACGGATGCACCCAATAGCAAAAACCTCTAAAAAAAAACCTGTACAAATAAATACTTTAAATGACATGTAAATTAACTCTTATGTAGGATGAGTTAATCAACATGAGGGGTCCAGCAACATTTTTCTATTAAAGACAATATGGGGGACTGGCAGATGGCAAGGTGGTTGAGGTACTAGACCCTCTGGGGTTGACGAAGGTTCAAGTCCCAGACCTAGTGGCTTGCTTTCTCCCTTTCTCTCTCTGTTGAGTACACATGCCCTATAAAAAATTTTAAAAATAATAATACATAAAATTAAATAAATAATTTAAAAAAAAGACCACATAGGAAATAATTCAGGTTTTATACATGTGATCTCTTTCACAGCCACTTAACTCTTCCATTATATGCCAAAGTAGACAGAAAATACAAAAATGAAGAAGTATGGTTGTGTTCCAATAACTCTTTAATTACAAATAGAATGTAAATGCCAAATAATTTCCACATGTCACAAAATATTCTTCTTTTAATTTTTCTCCTGATCACTTAAATATTGGGTCATAGTGAAAGTCACAAAGCATTTTTACATAGAAAAACAGAAAAATACATCATGACTTTTTAACAACCTATATATTAAAAACCATGCTTGGGGACCAGGCAGGGGTGTGGTGATTAAGGCGCTGGATCCCACACAGACAGCTGTGCAGTGTGGTGGCTTGAAAATCAGGCTGAGTGCATGTGCATGCCTACCCAAAATCCCAAAAGGAGAATGGAGGAGAAGGGATTGTAGAAAGGCCATCCCCTCCCGCTCCCTGTGTGAAGTGATGTCACACTTTTCTTCTCTTTGCCTCTCCCTGGAGAGTGCGCATGCCTATAGCAAAAAACAAACAAACAAACAAAAACAAGCAAATAAAAACAATTAAGCAAACAAAATTTAAAAAACATACTTGGTTTGAGAGCCACACCTAAACAAGCAGAGGCAGGACATGCCCATAGGCCATGGTTTGCCTGGAGAGCCAGAAACTACCTTTGTCTAGTTGACCCTGTCTCCAACAGTATATTCTTGGGTCCCTGAAGGAAGGGGATCCCAGTTACATTGGTAACTAACTCTCCATGCTCCAACATGAGTTTGACCATGAAGCTTTGCAATTATAATTTAGTTTCCAATGTAGTTTCTCTTTAGAAAGAAAATGTTCCAATATCTAAAACATGAACATTTCAATATTTCAATATTAACATTCACATTTACCGCCATTGATTTTTTTTTTTAAGTTTTAGTTTTACTGTAGGGTGTGTGCGCTCACCGGAGGGAGACAGAAAGATGGAAAGCGAGAAAGCACTTCTCCATGGGGAATGGTCATGCCACAATCTTGTCTCCTCTATCTCCCTCCCTTCTGGATTTTGAATGGATTGTTATCCTCAGGAAGAACGTGAAACGAAGAAGTTATGTACGAGAGAAATAGAAATTACTGCCTTTGATCATTTACAGTGAAATCAGTATACATCCAAGACACCAGTCAGGTCAGGTAACACCAAACGAGCTGAGGACAGATGCTAGATTGAAATTTATCATCTACCTCCATATCTATACCTAAAATACATCTCATCATAAGTCTAATATTTAAATACATCCAACTGTGTTGTATATCATAATCACTTTAGAGAACAAAACAAAACATTTAGGAAGCACTTAACATGACACAAACCACACTAAGTCCTGAGAGGGCTAAGATGAAGAGACAGTCTTTGCTCCAACAAGTTCAATATTCAGAGGGAAAGACAATCATGTAAACAAATAAGATCTTATTTAAGTGGAGACATTTGTAGGATGACCACAAGAATGAATAAGGTTTTCCAGAATAAGGGGATAAAGAACATTTCAGTTAAGAAAAAACAGTGCTTTCCAATAGAGATGAGAACGATTATTGCACATCCTATCAGTGTGGAGCTGAATGAAGAGCTTCTTTAGCTGAGCCCCAGAGCCACAGACCCATGGGTACTTGGATTTGGCAATGAACAGAGGCAAGACTTTGAAGGAAGACAGTAGGCAGATATGTAAAAGTAGGTCATGGCTAATAAATTCGGGTTTGGAGGTACTAATGGAAAACAGTCCTGCTGGCACTGTGCTGGACAGACAGGAAGACACCTGATGTCAGAAACTGACTGCACTATCTGCTGCGCGACTCAAGGGAGATGGAGTGAAGGCTGAGCAAGGCTGTGGGAATGGATATTAATAGAAAGCAGATCCAAACTATTCAGGCAAACTTCTTATTAAAGCAGGTGATGAGTATACATGGTTTTACAATTTACAAAGGAACTTTTGCATATCTGACTTCATTTGAAATGGATGTCCTATAAAATTACAAAAAAAAACAGTTTTTTTTTTTTTTTAGGTTTTTGTCATGGGCCACGTCTGCTTGCCGGAGACAGAGAGTTAAAGTGAGAAATCACCCCCCGGGGGAATGACCTTACTGCAATCCCTTCTCATCTCAGGGTTTTAGGCATGCATGTACACATGCCCGGTGTGTTTTTTTTAAGCCACCTGGTCTGGGAATGGAACAGGAGTCGGCCATGTGATAATATAGTGCCTTAACCACCATGCTACCTGCTGGCTCTAAAACTACAAAATTTAAAAAATCAAACTAAGTATGATTCATCTTTCTATTTCCTATAGTACTTAGCAAGAACAAGGCCCTGTGGATAGTGGGCACTTAAATACTCACTGTATCAGTGTTCTCTGTTACTACTACTGAGATGATTTATTATTATGATGGGACCCCCGGAAGATTGCCTGTACAACACATTAAGAGTTTTACAGCATTGAGATTTCTTTAATTCCTTAAAAAACACATAAATGTAAGAAGGATTTTGATGGCAAGGTTTCTCAAGCAGCATAGTGCTGAAAATCAAAAGAATACAATTCCAGCAGCAGACTAGAGCACAGGCAGGCATTAAGTGAAGAGTTTATGCCACAAACATTTTTTTAAAAACCCGGGACCGGCAGGTGGTATGGTGGTTATCTGCTCTCCATCAGTAATCTAGAGGCAGTGTAAATAGAAAGGGACGTGGGACTCTAACATTAAACACTGAGATTCAAATCCTGGCCCTTTCTAGCTGCAGTGTGAGCTTACTGAGTCAATCGCCTCCTTAAACTTTGGGTTCTTTATCTGTAAAATAGAGATTTTACTTCAAGTAAATAAAACAAGGAAGAACATGCTAAAGCTAATATTCCTGCTAAATCTAGAGAAAATTCCCTATTGTACTTGAAATTTTTTTATATTGTGGAGATACATATATCTGTATCTATCTATCTAACATAAACTTATATATGCAACAAATATAAAATGTAAAACTTGTCAATTGAACTTTCCTTTTTCCTTTTTTGGCTATAGGGCACAGGCACTTGCCAGAGATAGACAAAGAAAGAGAGGGAAAGTGAGAAAGCATCCCCCAGGGAGATCAGCCATGCTACAGTCCCTTCTCCTCCATGCTCCTCTCAGGATTCTGGGTACAGACACACACACGCCCAGCATGTTCTTTAAGCCATTCAGTTCAGGACTTGAACTGTGCAGTCAGTCATGTGGGATCCAGCTGCCTTAACTCCAATCTGCTGGTCAAATTTTAACTATTTTTTAAATGCAAAATTCACTATTATTTATTACAGTAGTAGTATTAATTACATTCATAATTCTGTATAGCCATTACCACTATGTATTTCCAATTTTTTTTCATCAGTGAAACAGAAACTTTTCATCATTAGACAATAAACTCCCATTCTCCTCTCACCCCACAGCACTTGATAATACATATTTAATTTGCTGGAGAGCACATGCACATGTACGGGCAGGAGAAACAGACACACGGAGGGAGGGGACGAGAAAACATCCTCCCAAAGGGGATGGCCATGTCACAATCCCTTCTCCTCCATTTCTCCTTGTGGGATACAGGGCACATGTGTACAGACACCCGGCATGTTTTTCAAGTCTGGGTCCAGAACTCAAATCGTACGGCCAGTCATGATGGATCTGGTCGTCTTCACCAGCACCACACTACTGGCTGGCTCTCTACCTTCTCTATGAATCTGTATTCTCTACAGGTCATGTAACTGAGCCACACAATATTTGTCCCTTTGTGCCTGGCTCCTTTTGGTTAGGACAAAGTTGTATTTTCACATATATATGGATGTGTTTGTATATACTTTACTGCAACATTCATTTATCTGTTGATGGGTGTTTAGTGTTCCGACCTCTTGGCTACAGTGAAAAATGCTGAAATAAACATTAGTGTATAAGTAGCTTTTTGAGTTCTTGCTTCTGACTATATACCTAGGAATGGAACTGCTCGGTCACAGGCCAATTACATGATAAGCTTTTTGAGGAACTGCCAAACTCTCTTCCACAGCAGCTGTACCACATTATATTCCCATGAGGAATGTAGGAGGGTTCTGACTTCTCCACAATCTCTCCAATCCTTGTTATTTTCCTTTATTTTTAAAAAATAGTCATCAAGTGTAAAGTGGTACTTCATTGTGGTTTTGAATTACATTTCTCCAGTTACTACACATCATCTTTTCATGCTTATTGGTTTCTGAATATCTTCTTTGGAGAAATGTCTACTGAAATCCTTTGCTTAATTTTTAACTGGGTTTGTC